TCTAAAACATGCAAACTGTATAGTAAAATCACATGGTGAATGCATCCCAAGCCTGTATTCTTACAATGTGAGCTGCCATCTATAAGGCACCGATTCAGCAGAATAAACAAAATTAAAATATCCCCTCACCAGTTCCCTCAATGATACAAATGATTGATTATGTCCTACATGGTTTTATTGGATAGAATTCATGAAGAGGAATACCAATTACTCTGGAATTCGTAATTCAAATGAGCATCCAGAGCAGTACACCACTCAATGCATTTTCCATGGCAGAAATGGCCAGGTGTTTACGTTCTGCTAATGACAGTAAACCTGTACAAATCACTAGGATGCTAATACTGTATGCTCCTGTTTGCATTTAACAACTTAAAGAACCCATTTGCATTCAGGGACATGCACCTACACCTACATAGCTGTCAAATTGGGACCAGTGGCTATGCATGCAACTGCTTCGTCCCAATAGATATGAATAGGACTGCCTGCATGTGGATGCATGGAACACCTATGAATCCCATGTGGGCAAAGATGGCCCTTCACATAGGTGTATGCATAGTCATGCCCATGTGAACTAGGTCTTATTTGTAACACTTTTAATATATGGCGCTATTGTTCCAACAAAGTCATATAGAAATATTGCCACATCAGTGATTATAGTCACATTTGTGAGACAATTTTGCAAAATATCAATAAGCACCTTATTGACATGTACTTGAATCTTTTGCAAGTTGAACCATTTGGCGAACAACCGCAAGACAGATTTCTGAGTATCTATGACAGTCTATGAATCTCATTAGTTCCCAGTCACCAGAGTGTTGGTGTTTTAAAGTAGTAAAAAAACCAAAACCAAAAATGTAATAAATTGTAAGTTATCAATCCTTAGATGTGATGGTTACATCAGTTTTCTTTTATAGCCTTTTCCCCATATTTTCACTTGATGATCTGGCCAGTAACACACCTCCTGTATTAGAGTGCCCCAACTCTGGATAAAGGAGCACACGGGGCACAGCAGACAGCAGCATTGTCATTCTGTGTAGAGGGAAGTGTTAAATGTAGTAATAGATTTAAATGCACTAACAAACTGAAGCCAAACTCCATCTAATATTTTATAAGCAGGTACAGCAAACAGTTTTTTTTACTTTTGGGATAAAGGTTTTACATAAATAAATGCTGATCATTGTAAGCAGCCCTGCCAGTGGTAAATGGTTTGGCTCATCCCTGTAACTGAAAGAGAGCTTGTTCTTTTGAAAAACAATGGCAGACCTATTGGCTGGAACACCAGAAGAAAACAGGAAAGAAAGCCTAAAATAGAAAACAAATGCAGCCATTATATCTAAGAAGTGGTAAGCTACAATATAATATTTTTTACTTTTGAGTTTAATACTGTCTTAAGATTTGTACATGGGTTTTTTGGGAGTTTTCAGCCTAAAGCATTTTAGTTTTTAACCAATGGAAAGCTAATTACTTGAAGGATATGCAAGAAATTGGTGAATTATATGCATTTTTAGGAGCTTCTATTGAAGTCAATAAAGGCCCAAAACACATGTGTAATGTAGCTCTTAAAGGCTAAGTTGTTATTAATATACAGGATATATAACGCCATTAATTTGCGCAGCGCATTACAACATGAGGGTAGACAATACAACAAAACTCAATACAGGAGTAACCAGAGAGCCCTACTCGCTAGAGCTTACAATCTAAAAGGGAGGGAAGTGATAAAAAAAAAGGTAATAACTGTGGGGGATGAGCTCATGGAGAAAAGAAAAGAGATGGGTTTTCAGGGATTGCCTAAAAGTGGACAGAGTGGGAGATAGTTGGACAGATTGGGGTAGGGAGTTCCAGAGGATGAGAAAGGCTGGGGAGAAATCCTGGTGGCTCACCTTTGAAAAATATTAAATCCCATATTTAGAGTGTAACATGTTCCAGTACCTGCCCTGCTCATCCCCCCTTCACCTGTGTAAAATTAGTGCAGCTGTGTGGGGCTCTACTCCCACAGCTATGTTATTCAATTACAGGGATCTGCGAATGAATAAACTTGTAGTTCTCAATGGACTAGGAGTGTGCTGATCAGTGTGCTTGTAAAGCATTCATTCTTCCTCCAGTTTATAACTGAAAGCTCATACAGAGGTAAAGGAAGAATGCTGGAGGAAGAGTCTGCAGGATCCTGACATCATTGCACCCACAATCCACGGATCACAGTGCAATGCTTTGCAGGTTCCTGTAGTAAAAAATAATAATTGCACATGCTTTTTTCTAAAAAAAAAAAAAAAAACTGTACATTTATTATTTCTGCCTTAAGGGCCAGTTCAAACCATACCTACACCTGAATGGGCTGATGTTACATGAACTACTTTTTACAGCGCACTGCAACTGGATTGCATGATACAAAAGTACAATGTGATCTGGTGTGGGCAGGTGACAGCAAATGCACTGCATTTGTGACCTGTGTTTGGGGTGTCATTAACTTCTTACTGAAACCCACTGCAGATCGCAAATGTAGTGCATTTTGCATGTGGTTTGAATCGCACAGGAATGCACAGAGCGATCCTGTATGATTCAGAAGTGGGCATGGTGTGAACTGTCCCTAAAGGTGGACTTATCATTTAAAGCTTTGAAGGACACAATGCTCAGAGGTGAACAGGCACCACCAGATTTCATGGGAACCTCCTTGTTCAGGAACCGCCCTTCAAATCGCTCAGGTGTGATCAGGGTACTGCTCATTGACAATATATGTACCTACCTCTCGTGACTGTATATTACATTTTCTTGTCAAATATAGCACTTGTATTGAAAAACTTTAAAAAAAGTATTAAAAATAAAAGCCATTGTGATGGTCCACACCCTGCAGGCAGTGACACAGCAGCCCCATCACAGTCCCCCCGTCCTCATAAATCAGTCTCACCCCCCCCGAACCCCATATATCAGGCTCACCCCCCCTCTTCTGTCTCCATAGATCAGGCTCACCCCCCTATTCCCCGTTGTCCCCATAGATCAGGCTCATCCCTCCCATCCCCACCATAGATCAGACTCACACATCCCCCCGTCCCCATAGATCAGGCTAGTCCCCGTCCCCATAGATCAGGCTCATCATCCCCCCCCCCCGTCCTCATAGATCGGGGCTCATCAACCCCCCTGTCCCCTTAGATCAGACTCAACCCCCCCTTCTGTCTCCATAGATCAGGCTCACCCCCCCCCCTCCCCATTGTCCCCATAGATCAGGCTCATCCATCCCTGTCCCCATAGATCAGGATAATCCCCCCTGTCCCAATAGATCAGGCTCACCCCCCCTTTTGTCCCCATAGATCAGGCTCACCCCCTCCCCCCGTTTGTCCCCATAGATCAGGCTCATCCTCCTGTCCGCATAGATCAGACCCATACCCCCCTGTCCCCATAGATCAGGCTCATCATCCACCCTGTCCCCATAGATCAGGCTCATCCCCCACCCGTCCCTATAGATCAGGCTCACCCACCCTATTGTCCCCATAGATCAGGCTCATCCCCCATCCACATTGATCAGACTCATACCCCTGTCCCCAAACATCAGGCTCATTCCCCACCCCCCATCCCCATAGATCAGACTCATCCTCCCTGTCCCCATGCAGCAGGCTCACCCCCCGTCCCCATATATCAGGCTCATACTCCCCCCCCCCCGTCCCCATAGATCAGGCTCACCCCCTTGTCCCCATAGATCAGGCTCATCCCCAGCTGTCCCCATAGATCACACATCCCCAGCTGTCCCCATAGATCAGGCTCATCCCCCTGTCCCCATAAATCAGGCTTATCCTCCCTGCCCCCATAGATCAGGCTCATCCCCCCTCCCCAAAGATCAGGCTCACCCACTTGTTCCCATAGATCAGGCTCATCCCCCGCTGCCCCCCCATAAATCAGGCTCACCCCCCCCTGTCCCCATAGATCAGGCTCATCCCCCCCGCTGTCCCCATAGATCAGGCTCATCCCCCGCTGTCCCCATAGATCAGGCTCATTCCCCGCTGTCCTCATAAATCAGGCTCACCCCCTTGTCCCCATAGATCAGGCTCATCCCCCGCTGTCCCCATATATCAGGCTCATCCCCCGCTGTCCCCATATATCATGCTCATCCCCCGCTGTCCCCATATATCATGCTCATCCCCCACTGTCCCCATAGATCACAGGTGTCAAACACAAGGCCCATGGGCCGATTCAGGCCCTCCAGGCCATTTCATGTGGCCCTTGCACCTCTCTTGCAGGTACTCCCTTGTCTCCACCCCCACCTTGTCTCAGCAGTCGGCAGCAGAGAGGAGAATAGAACTCCTCTGCCAAGTCCTGCACCTCTCCATGCAGCTGCAGCACCCCCTCATCTCTGCCTCCTCTGGTCTCATCATTCAGGATACTCTGCTGACTCCACTCCACCTCTGGTCCTCCTCCAGACCCTGCACTTTCTGCTTGCCAGCTCTGCCCCCAAAGGGGGTGCACGGAGATGTTAGGGAGGGTGTGGGATTCTTGACATCTGATGTAATGGGAGGTGGTGTACTTTGGACATCTAGTCTTATAGATACATTCGGCCCTTTGATGGCAACCATAATGCTGATACGGCCCATGATAAAATGGAGTTTGACACCCCTGCCATAAATCAAGCTCATCCCCCCTGTCCCCATAGATCAGGCTCACCTTCCCCTGTCCCCATAGATCAGGCTCATGCCCCCCTGTCCCCATAGATCAGGCTCATCCCCCTGTCCCCATAGATCAGGCTCACCCTCCCCTGTCCCCATAGATCAGGCTCATCCCTGTCCCCATAGATCAGGCTCATCCCTGCCCCCATAGATCAGACTCCTTTCCCCTCTGTCCCCATAGATCAGACTCCTTTCCCCTCTGTCCCCATAGATCAGGCTCCTTATCCCCATAAATCAGGCTCATCCCCCCTGTCCCCATAGATCAGACTCATCCTCCGCACACACACTGCGACCTTTGCCTGCCATGCCCGGACTGTGCCCCCGGTGACCGGTCACCTACATATCACTCACCCAGAAGAGCATGTTGAAGAAGAAGAGCAGATACTTCACCACCGGGCTGACGAAGGAGAACTCCTCCGCGCTGATATTCGCCGCCGATCTCCTGGCCATGGCCGGTCCGATGAGCTGCTATGGAATGTGATAGGTGTGTACAGAGCCCCCGGACATGTGTGTACAGATCGGCGTCTGCCGAGCACAGCGACCGCTAGCGTCCCGCACCACCACCTTCACCGGCCATTGTCCGTCTATGGAGGAGCCCCGGTCAGCCCATACACCACAGCACAGCTACCGTGCCGGAGCGCAGCTGACCACCTGTTGCTGATTGGATCTCCGGAATACAACTTGGAAAGTGATTGGAGGTTGTGTCTGCCGCTCAGGATGGGAAGGCACGCAAGGAATGAACACCTGTATGTATGTATGTGTGTATGTATGTATGTGTGTGGTATGTATGTGTATATGTATGTATGTATGTATGTGTGGTATGTATGTATGTAAGTATGTACGGGGCAGTGAGTGCTGGCTGGGCGCTGGAGCGTGAAGTGCAGGAGGGCCAGAGAGATCAGTGTGACAGTCCATACAGTGACAGGCTGCAGAGGATCGGTGTGACAGTCCATATGGTGACAGCAGAGGATCGGTGTGACCAGGGGCGGACTCACCATTTGGAAACTCTGGCACTGCCCGAGGGCTCGGGGTCAGTAGGGGGCCCCATGAGATGCCCCTGGTACCTTTTTCATAGGCTTTTTTGAGTTTGGGCAAGGACACAGGGGCCCCATGATCCCCTATTGCCCGGGGGCCCCATGAGTTGTCAGTCCGCCCCTGGGTGTGACAGTCCATATGGTGACAGCAGAGGATCGGTGTGACAGTCCATATGGTGACAGCAGAGGATCAGTGTGACAGTTCATACAGTGAAAGCAGAGGATTGTTATGCCAGTCTGTATAATAACAGCATAGGATCAGTATGAAAGTCCATATTGTGACAGCAGATGATCAGTGTTACAGTTCCCATGGTGACAGCACATGATCAGTGTTACAGTTCCTATGGTGACAGCACATGATCAGTGTTACAGTTCCTATGGTGACAGCACATGATCAGTGTTACAGTTCCTATGGTGACAGCACATGATCAGTGTTACAGTTCCTATGGTGACAGCACATGATCAGTGTTACAGTTCCTATGGTGACAGCAGAGGATTGGTGTGACAGTCCATATGGTGACAGCAGAGGATCGGTGTGACAGTTCATATGGTGAAAGCAGAGGATCGGTGTGGCAGTCCATATGGTGATAGCAGAGGATTGGTGTGACAGTCCATATGGTGACAGCAGAGGATTGGTGTGACAGTCCATATGGTGATAGCAGAGGATTGGTGTGACAGTTCATATGGTGATAGCAGAGGATTGGTGTGACAGTTCATATGGTGATAGCAGAGGATTGGTGTGACAGTTCATATGGTGAAAGCAGAGGATCGGTGTGGCAGTCCATATGGTGACAGCAGAGGATTGGTGTGACAGTCCATATGGTGATAGCAGAGGATTGGTGTGACAGTTCATACAGTGACAACAGCTGATCAATGTGACAGTCCTTATAGTGACAGCAGGGGAAGCTCATTTCATACTATTTTCTTTGTATGTGAACTGAAACAGACATTCTTTTCTATGTCGTGCCAGACACTATATATATATATTATATATATATATATATATATATATATATATATATATATATATAGTATATATGTAAACATTTTAGATCTGCGTTGGTGTGAACTTTATTACTATGGAGCTTCTCACATCCTATTCTTCATACACATTTTGTTTTAGTGATATATATTACTTTGATCATAAGTAGTGCAAAAAACTAGCCATGGAGTGTAGATTCAGCAGTCATACTTCCCTTTCCTTCCATTGAGTCTGCTATGTCAGTGACAGATTGCTTTCTGTAGACTATATCACATCATTGATCTCTATATGGCAGATCCTATGTAGTCGAAGATGAACACTGCGATCTGATTGGTCTGTAACAATTCCTGTTCTAACAGTTTTTACAGGTGTCATCTTTTTAGGGCTCATTCTCACCAGCTCTGCTGGAAAACATTGCCAATGCATTCCCAATGCACAGGTATGTAAATTTGCTTTACTGTATGTTCTGTTGTTTCAGTTCACATCAATGTGCTTTGGTGTATGCTGAAAAGAATTTGAACAGGTTGCATTTTTACACAGCTCATTGGAATTCACTTAAAGTGCTGTGGTGCATAGAGATGAATGAAGTGCAATTTGTGGCATTTCAATAAAGTTAAAAAAAGTGTAACAAAGTATCTCACGCCCCTCCCCCCAAAGAAACCCACCCACACACACACTGCACACCAGTAGACAGACCTTATACAGAGAATAAAGAGTGCTCACTAATGTGAATGGGCTGTCAGTTGTACAATTAGGGAGAAGTGCTTCTTTTATTATGTGTTTGTATTATGTAAAAACATACTACAGTATTCACACACACTACACAGTAACTTTATATATCCCTTAGGCAGGCCATACACTTTACAATTTTCTGATCAATTTCTGCCCAATTTCCTTTAGATTTACCTTCAACTATGTAGTGCCAGGGCCTGCCTAAATTGGATACAATTGAAAGTGTTGTTTAGGTTTGACCTCATATTATATGGTTTTTGGTAAATCTAAAGCAAATTTCTCAAGAAAATTGTATAATGTATGGCCAGCCTTAGTATCCACATACTGCATGATTATTTTAGATTTCCTCGTTTTACTTTCTGATCAATTTTCACATATATATGTACAGGGGCGGACTGGCAACTCATGGGGTCCCCGGGCAATAGGGGATCATGGGGCCCCTGTGTCTTCTCCCACACTCAAACCACACCCAAAAAAGCCTCTGAAAGGTACCAGGGGCATGTCATGGGGCCCCCTGCTGACCCCGGGCCCTCGGGCAGTGCCCGAGTTTACAAATGGTCAGTCCGCCCCTGTATATGTATATATATATATATACAGGGCTCGACGAATCCCAGGTATCAGGTTGCCATGGCGACCAGAAATCATGTCCCGGTGCCTGGGCTCCCAACAGCCCACCCACTGCTGACACTATGGAGCTCCTCATCTTTTCTCCTCCATGGACCGCATATCACATGCCTACCTTACGTGGGAGAGCGATGATTGGGCAGCCTGTCAGCTCCCCCCCCTCTCTCCATTGGCCAGAACTTCCTGTCCCCTTTTGACCCTCCTCCAAATAGGAGGGGAGCTGGGAATGGCGCTTCTCTGATTGGCTGGCCGGGAAGATGGCACAGGGAGGAGCCCCAGTGGGCCCAGGAGCTGGCTGAACTCTACTCAGGTGAGAAGAGACACCCCAGGTGCCTGCCTTCCTGTGGTCTATGACTTCTACCCTGCCAGGTGCCCCCCCCTTCCGCCTCAGTGATCTCCTTTGCACCCTGCACACACTGGAGGGGAGGAAAAAAGTCCTAGAGCCACAACTGCTCCACCTCCAAGCTCCGCCCCCCATCTTCAGCTCCCAGCTTCAGTTACTTACTGGCTTGCAATTGCCGCTGAGCCCTGCCAGCAAAACAATCTATGGGTAGGGGCGTTAATATAAGGGGGGGTGTCTTTCTGATCTAATGGAGGTCTCTAAGGGGGAGTGCTGACTGCTGCTCATTAGAACTCCCCCCCTCATTTGATCAGAGCCCTGAGGAAGAGGCATAGCCTTCGAAACGCGTCAACCATTTGGAGGTCTATAGTCCCCTTTAAGACACCATCTAGGGAGATTGGACCATGCTGTACCTCTTATGATGTGCCCTTGATTTTTATCCTTTTGTGAGTATACCACTTTTTATACAATAAACTAATTTTCTTAGGTAATGCACTAGGCCCATGCACCCTTTGTTTGTTTCTTTGTATGCAGTTCCCCCCCCAGTGTCAGAATGCCCACCGCAGTCCCAGAGTCCCACAATAAGTCCCTGATTGCCGCCATTACCAGTAAAAAAAAAAAAATTCCAGTATATATATATCGCCATTTGTAGATGGTATAACATACACATAAACCAATTAATTTACACGTATTGGGATTTTTTTTTTTAGCAAAGTCATGTAACAGAATACATTTTGGCCTCAACTGATGAAGAAATTTTATTTTTAAATGTTTTTACTGGATATGTTTTATAGCAAAAAGTAAAAAAAAGTTTTTTTTTCCCAATATTGTTTGTCTTTTTTTGTTTATAGCGCAAAAAATAAAAAAACACAGGTGATCAAATACCACCAAAAGAAAGCTCTATTTATGGGGAAAAAAGAACATACATTTCATTTATGTACAATGTTGCATGACCGTGCAATTGTCAGTTAAATTAACGCAGTGCCGTATCGCAAAAATAGCCTGGTCAGGAAGGGGGTAAATCCTCTGGAGGACAAGTGCTTAGAAGATAGAACTGATATTTCATTGTCCTCCATTGTGTTCTCATTCATGCTACAGTGCTGCCATAGGAGCGCGCTGAGGGTTCATCCAACTAAAACTGAATAAGCACGATAATAATAGGTGACCTTTTTTAATGTGTGACTCATATTTCTGATGCAGAGAAGCTCTATGTACAGCTGAAAAAGCTGCAAGACGTGATCTAATCTGACAGCCAAGAAATATTTTTTTTTTCTCAGTTTAACAGCAATATTTAGTTTAAACCTAAGGGCTGATGTACACTGCAGCTGATAAACTCACGTTCAGGAGCTATTGAGCGTTTTTTTTCAGCAGCCCCTGAACTCTCCCTAATGTTTTCCTATGTGTCCATGTACACATTATCATTTACAGTCATTTACAGGCAGTTGAGTTTACAGTCGTTTTTTTGAACGCAGAAAACTTGCGTTCAGCAGTAGATTTTCTCAGTGTTTCAAATGCAAAATGCATGTACACGCAGCTAAATGCGTTTATAGGCGTCTGCGTTTGAGATTTTTTTTAACTCTTACATTTCCAAATGATGTCCAGAGCCTTTTTTCATCATGAAAAATGCATGCAAAGTGTTTTCCCGGTACTCAAATGGACCTGGTACACCATACTTTGAGGTTTTGCATGAAAAAAAAATATATATTAGACACTGCTGCAATAATTTCTGCACAGAAAT